CCTCCGTCTTACTCTAATTTCATTACTGACGTCACGAGTCTCATCAGCAAATACTCTATAGGCACTCAAGTCCAAATGTTATCCCCAATTTCTACCAAATATTCCGCCCTATTCATTACAACCAGGGTTATCCTTTCGTCATCCGCTGTAAGTACAATGCTGCGATCTCCCTTCAAGAAAATTAATGTGATACGTTCAGTTTGCGGAAGCTTTGGCTCACTCGGTTGCTGAAACTTAATGATATTTACTAATTGTGCTCGAATATTCTCTGCCTTTGTAGCGGGCAACTTTGTCACCGCGCCCACAACGCTTGGGATAATCTCTTTCGCATATATCTTAGATTTATTGAATGTAAATGTCAAAGCTTTCTCCATACAATCCACATTCCGTTTCATTCAAAACCTCAGATGACAGTAGTAACTACATTACAATAGGTACCAATAGATCCTGGACCTGTCAGTAGGACCGGTAGCATTAGGATGCATAGACATTAAACGCACGAACTTACGCATTTGTCTGTTCTTTGCATCCTGCCCTTGTTTCAGATTTGACGTCTGAAGGCCATATTGCAAATTCGGTCGAAGTCGAGAGGCGTTATGTCGGTCTGTAGATCCGCATCGACGCGAATCGGCTGAGCCTAAATTTTGGCAAGACTATCTCAGCCTCTAACAGGGCGGAACGCGTACATTCGTGAAAATCTCTTATGAGTTCGCTCAAAAAATAGCAAGTCTCGAAATCGAGTCATATGAGTTGATGGTAAGTTTCGATGTGACAGCACTTTCACCAAGGTACCCAAAGAAGAGGCGCTAGGAATAGCAAGAAGTTGTTTATATGAAGACGTCACTCTGAGTGATCAAACGACGCACAGCAAGGTTTCATGCCAGGTCGTTCAAGCATCACGAACCTGCTCGTGAAGAGGCATGAATGGTTGCAAGCAGGGAGCCATAGGAAGCTCTGTCGACGTTGATGTACATCGATTTCAGCAAAGCGTTAGACAAGGTGAACCATGAGGTCCTCCTCCTAAAGCTGAGAGCATGTGGTGTCGGTGGATCTCTGCACTAATGGATCCAGGACTTTCTCGTTGGACGAATGTGGAGGGTATAATTAGATAGCCACCTGACCGACTGGCACCCTTCGATCAGTGGCATATCCCGAAGCATGATGCAAGGGCCCACGTTGTTCCTCATTAATATCAACGATCTATCTCAGCTTCTTCGGTCACCGTATGCCCTATTTGCAGGTTGACCTAAAGATGTAGAGAGTGACAAGCCCATCCGACGACTGTGGCTTACCACAATGAGACCTGAATCGGCTTTCCATGTGATCTACAGAAGTCCGAACCCCGGTTAACCTATCCAAAGTCGGTATTCACGAGCCTGGGGAAGGGTGGTGATAGCCGAACCTACACTCTCGAAGGATAAATGATACATCCCACACCTTCTGTGAAGGAGCCACTGACATCTGAGACGCGATTGTACTTGGCGATTTCTCTCTGGGCACAGCCGCGCCCAGTCCTTCCACGTAAGTGTGAAACATTTTTCTTTGAATAAAGTAAAAAAGGAATACATGTTCTAATTAATTTCGACCATTCAATTAAAGAAAACATGTTTTTGAGCAATCTCTTTATTAAAACACAGCGATTACTTCTCGAAACTCTAGTACTCGGTGAACACCTTCCTCGTGAAAATCAGCGCACGTCTGTGTGGAATAACGGCACGTCGAATTTACCTCCAAATTCATTGCACAGCTCTGAAACCTCTTGTAATTGTCGTACCACCGCGAATAGTAGTAGTAGTAGTTAGTAGTAAGTAGTAGTCTATTTCCCGCGATTAATCAGATTAGCTCGCACTGGTGTATGCTAAAGGAAACTGGTTGGTTGATACCCTAGTTACAGAGAAAAGCTTGTAAACGAGTTTCTGACTTGGGGAAATAGCTGCAGTAAATTCCAGGGAAGATGTTTTTCTCACGTGTATCTGCATTAGGTTTACAGATTCCTTTCTTCAATTTCGGACATCCATCTTCTCAATGCATTGCACGTGTAGCTTCCGAAAGCAGCTGAATCAAACGGATCTGGCCGAAGACAGTAGGACTACTTCAGTTGCTGGTGACCCCGAAAACGGTTTGTAGCATATCTCCATCAAAGCCTTCCGAGTACACGCTACTTTCGGCCCTACGGAAGTTCCAATACACCCCCATCTATAACTATTAGGTCAGTCAGCTCCCACCCTGTGCCGATACACATCAGCATCCGTGCCTTCAAATCATCACCTAACTCTAGTTGGTGCACTTAATGAGTACAAGGGGGTCCGGCCGGTGACCGTGTGCACTGCAATGCTGAAGTCCCCGGTCCGAGTCCGTATAGGAGCAGGCGACGTCGCAATATACACAGCCCTCGCGAGACTGGTGTAGGTTGTGTAACAACGAAGCGTCGATACACTGTACCGGTGTATTACTAATGCCCTCCTTGGATCCGGTAGTTGGTGGTTCACAACAAACCATCTAGTGGCACCCCGAATCGCCTGCTGAAATTGCACCGCCTACGCACGCTAGAGCAAGTAAACTGAATGTATGCTCATTACGCACCTGAATGTGTGTGTTTGTCTACATTATAACTGGTTGCGTGAGATAGTATGATACCCAGTCGATGTATGACATCAAGACGGGACGATTTTGATTAAAACCGGGTGCACTTTGTCACTCTGGATAGCTCAGATAGACCATACCAATAGCGCGGATAAAAAGGCAGAAGTGATGGGGGAAATCTAACGAAAACACACACCTGCATGATTATATTCTGCAAGGTAGTCGAACCGCCAATAGAACCGACAAATGAGCGTATCTTTGATCCATGAAAGTTCAAATCCTCACAATCGAGATCGTGAAGCGCGATCTGGCCTTCAATGAAGCAGTTGAGGAAGGCCGATAGCTCTGTCAGGTCGTTAAGTAGCGCGTTACGACCTTCTATGGTGTCCAGCAGAGGGCGTGCATCATGTCCAGAAACAACGATAGTGGACACAGACGGCTGGTGGCTTGCAGTTTGCAAATGAGGAGGATCTGAATCGAGGGGCGGGTCGACCAAAGTGGTTTGCGATTGACCATCATCGGATAGTTCGATCAAATCACATGGAATGTCGTCATCCCAATTGATCTGGAAGAAAGGAAGGGAAACGACCGAATGCGGATGCAGTGAAGGGTACATGGTCGAATCGGATACAGCTATCACGAACGTGAGACATCATTCACATTTTAGTTTATAAACCAAACGAATACAGTGAGAGTTGTGTTGCAAAACAAAGTGTTGAGAACGCAATGAGGGGCGGACAAGTTGTTGATTGGAGAACGCATGTCTGGTTAACATAATAACTCGAACATAGGAACGCGAGTCCACTTTGCGCATGACTTTCGCGGCACCTTTCCGGAGCGATGCGCCGTTGCAACCTTGCATTCACCGAGCATCTGTCTAGATTGCCTCGTGCCCCTCGTGTACGTCGTCCGGTTGATTTTCCACCACACCGTCTGCCGGCATCTCATGATTTACCTGTTTCCCTTGTGCGCCCTCGTTGATAGCCATACTACTCATAAGTATTGCACCACAAAAGGACTACGATTCAAAGTGAGCTAAGAATTGTAGGTTAAGAAAGAGCAAGACATAGACCACTGTTAACAAGCAACAGGTTTGACTGCATAGGCAGATCGTTGTGCAAAAACAAGAATGTAATTACTGAGAGATCCTCCTACCCCATGGTAAAGACGACAGGCTAATCGTCGAGACGTGTACTTCTGTGAGATAGCTATAACTAGCCAAGACGAGCCATAACATGGCTTGGTTCTCAGCGCCAATTGACTTTCACGGAGTTGACTTAGTTTATTAACGAAAATTTTGCAGAGGACCTACCAAGTTCAGGAAACAAGTCATTATCTCCACAGCAACCGCCCCCTTCCATCCCAACTGCCAAGACAGGGGTAGACAGGCCAAGAAACCATGGGTTTAAGAGTTTCAGCCTAACTAACCCGACAACCTTTCAAATCTCAAACCAATACAATTTAGGCGCCGAATTGATAGTGGGAAAATATATTTGAACTCACGCAGTTGTCGGTTCGTCTGATCAAAACACTTTAAGAGTCACTACTGCTGGCATTACAAAAACATTGTATACTAGCAAAATGTTGGGGGCGACAGACAAAAACACTGACAGTACATTACACAAGCAAACCAAGTTTTATTTTCTAATTCAATCCTGTTACCAATTTTGTCTGTGCCTTAAGGTGCGGTGCGCCCAATTACCCTTATGTCCGTCAAAAATGATAACAATAGTAGTGGAAAAGTAATGGACAAGAAATTAAATCACCAGATGGGATGGTCAAGAGTCAGAAGTTAAGAAAAGTATGCAAGAGCGTCAATGACCTCGTGACCGCGCAATATTCAGCAAATTAACCTGAAAACACCCATTTAAGTCTCGAGAACGAAAGACCATCTTGTGAGCAATTGCTTTCAATGATTCAGCAACGAGCCATTACAATCATATGGATGCTAAAAATAATATTCAACCAAGTTAGGCCAAAACGAATAGATCTTGTGAAAGTCTATGTCAGAGAGCAGAAAACGAATTAGGTCTTAGTGGGCTAGTTGTTTGCTACCGCCTCTGACCGAAGGCAGTCGACCTGGTCATATTCCGTCCTCGCTGGCCAGGGAAGATGGAGAGCGTGGATTAGCTTCTTCTGTGAGCATAAGGACGGCTGGAACAATCGAATGCATATTGCTTCAGTTGTCGCAAGTGTACGAAGGTGGTAACCTTTCGTTCGGTGCGGCGGAACCTTGTACACTATTCGGAAAGCGCATTTCCAATCCACCTCATGGCCGGTGTTCACAATGTGGGCCAGAATGGTGCTACTAATGGTCCCGGGGCCTACTTGACGCAGCCAACGAGGGCAATGTTCGTTCGCGCGTTTGGATAATTGTCGCGCCGTTCGACCAATATACGTTTCGTTATAGGCGCACACGAATTGACAAATTACCATTGAGTTGGTCAGCGTCGGCACTTTGTCCTTGTTTTGTGAACGGATGAGTGGTTCCGTTGAAAACACGCGCTTCAAGGAGGATGTTGGAAGGTCGACCTTACCGCGGCCGAAAGGCTTCTGGTTAGACACTCGGTAGCCACATCCCTTTGTATGTTAAACAAATAAATAGCTCTCTCTTTGCTGTTGTTAACACTGGTATTTGTTTGGGTTTTTCTTGGAAGTTCCTTAAAATAAATCTATAGGGATAACCGTTTTCTCGTAGAGTATTCTGTATGAATATTAACTCCGCGTCTAGAGTGTCTTCCGTACAGATTCGACGTGCTCTTGAGGTAAGACAGTGAACCAAGTTGCGCTTGTACCTCATAGGAACGACGCTGATCAACTCAATGGTAATTTATCAATTCGCGTGCGTCTATAGCGAAATGTATACCGGTCGAACGGCGCGACAATTATCCAAACGCGCGAACGAACATTGCCCTCGTTGGCTGCGTCAAGTAGGCCCCGGGACCATTAGTAGCACCATTCTGGCCCACATTGTGAACACCGGCCATGAGGTGGATTGGAAATGCGCTTTCCGAATAGTGTACAAGGTTCCGCCGCACCGAACGAAAGGTTACCACCTTCGTACACTTGCGACAACTGAAGCAATATGCATTCAATTGTTCCAGCCGTCCTTATGCTCACAGAAGAAGCTAGTCCAGGCTCTCCAACTTCCCTGGCCAGCGAGGACGGAATATGCCCAGGTCGACTGCCTTCGGTCAGAGGCGGTAGCAAACAACTAGCCCACTAAGACCTAATACGTTTTCTGCTCTCTGACATAGACTTTCACATGATCTATTCGTTTTGGACTAACTTGGTTGAATATTATTTTTAGCATCCATATGATTGTAATGGTTTGATGACGAATCATTGAAAGCAATTGCTCACCAGATGGTCTTTCGTTCTCGATTCAGTAAAGTGTCCAACCACTGATGTTATCGGTCTCGTGGACACCACCCAGGTAGGCAATAAGAACCCACCAAACCGGCATTTCGATGGTTTTCTTCATGCGCTTTATCCATGTCACTGAATTTCAATGAATCACGGGCAATGCTTTGTGTTTGCATGTTTATTTAGTTCATTTGGTTTAACATCTATATCTGTCGACTTATCGATACTGATCGTTCAAACAGCCCAGAAGTCAATCGCAGACCGAGTTGACGCTTTCCCCACAATCAACGCTATGTAAACGTTTAGATCTCATGGCAGTTTACCGAAAAGAATTCTTTACCATGAAGTGATGTCACCGAATCGGGGTTTCACCCAACAGTGTACAGAGGCAACCGGAGCATGTGATCGAGTCAACGAAGGTGACTCAAACTTAGTAGTTGCCCCATTGAAGCATCGGAAGGCCGGTAGACAAACCATACGATGAAAAATGTGCCCAGACGCATGACAAAATTCCGTAGATCAAAGGAGACGATTTCTGTGATTTGAGAAAATTTACCAAAGCCAGCCAACTGGCATTGATTTCACGCAAACACTTGTCTTGAAAGAACGCAATTGAAGGTGAAACCGAGTAAGGAGGGCACATTGAGCACGGATCTAAGATAAGGTGGAACAAAAGCTGAAAATTCGCAAACGAGATGCTTAAGGCAGATTATCAAGCGCTTAATCAGAGGACAACAGCAGAGGTGTAGTTAGAAATTAGAGAAAACAAACAAATCCGACGGAGACAAATCCCTGTGGTTCCGACGAGTATTGCAACGGGAGTGCTGATTCGATTCTGAAAGTGGGAGAGTGCAGCTGATGTCCACAGGCTTGCTATTCTCCAAACTAAGCCAGATAGGCTCGGGACAGGCGTAAGCCGGTCGAAGGTTATCTGTGAATGATAGTGTTCGCAGTTACATCAGATGAAGAGTGGAAAAGTCTGTAAAAATGCTCATTAACCTCATAAGGTTGCATAAACTTGGCTTGTCGGGCTACGAAGTTACACCCTCGAGTTAGACCTCCGTTCCACTATAACGTGGACGATATTACTGATCAAAGGGTCTGGGTAAAATGCACAAGATAGGCCTCCGATGATGTGTTTTGTGGGTTAGAACATCAAATAAATGGCTAGATGCGGGAAACACCGAACAACAAAATATAAGCATCAGCCCACAAGATCCAGCCAACAGTATACTCTTAATCTTCTGCTTACACAATTGCTTCTCCTCTAATGTTAGAAAGCAAGACATTAAGTAAGGTTTTGTCCGCTAGCGCAACAAGAAAACGACCCCCTCCGAAATCTAGGACATAGTTTCATATGGAGCATTAAAAGATTCGAACACTACCAGACCAATGGACAGGCTAGGCGCATTGCGAGTTTACACGCCTACAAAATTGACGGATGCTGTAGCGTTGAAAGAAACACATAGGAAGCGACTAAATTCGTTGCATTGTTGATGGGCTTACGGCACCGCAGCTGCTTTCGGCATCGGTTAGAGAATCTCCTTCCTTCAAAACCCTCAGTGAGCTTGCCGAACTTTCTGACTGGCTCGCCGGATCACCTCTTCGTGGTGCCAGCTGCGTGGTTCGGGCTTGCCCCATTCTCGCAGGAAGTTCGAGGGCAGTGTTTCAGGACGTGGTGGATCTTCGGACGACAAGCGATCTCCCTAGAAAAAGTCACAATTCTCCGTTTAACAATACTGTGGTAAGGCGGATGTGACTCGCCACTAACTAGTGGCCGCCCTTTGATTTGGTTCAGCAAGGCATTGTAACCGCTCAATTGGATGCCAATTCTCTGGACGGACTAGGCCCCAGTTGGGCAGATCGCCAAACAAAAGACGTATGAACTGAGCAATTGGGCACCGGCTCCCAGTGGACGTGAGCTCTCGACTTCGCCTCGCTACCTTGCGTGTGGGTTATTGAGCCGAAGGCTCGGAGCAGATTCCCTATGTCAAGTTTCTACCTCCGCCTGCGAAACCGGGTAGTATCACGCCTATTGAGAAAAACCATGGGCTTGACTTCGTTTCAAACATTATACATTATACACCTTAGGTGTAGATAGATCTGCGTTGTGAAACTGTTTATTGGAGAAAGGTATGCCCGACAAGTTTGTAACCATCCTGAAAGAACTTACAGTCACAGGCCAGGCAAAGTGAGGGC